CCTGCACACCTGCAAGCAAGCACTGTTTCCAGCAATGCTCGTCCGCACCCCTGTCTACATTTGGGAGGAATTCGTCCCAATATCTCCCTCTCCTTGCCTCGAACCTGCGCGTATGCTGCGCCGTGCGTGCCTGTGTGTGCCTGCGTGCCCTTTTGCTCCTGCTCGCCATGTGTGCACTATATTCGTACGATATCTTCCTGTCGAGATTCGTCGGTTTGGCTGCTTCAGGTGAGCAAGGTCTTGGTAAGTTAGCTGCCTCGCACATGCTTGATATGCAGCCGGCCCTTCCAGCACGCATGCTTGTTCTGGAATTCGGCCCCCAGTGGGTGTCGTGGTGTGGAGGTCCCTCCGCTCTCGCACCAACAGACGGCTTTTTACAGAATAGACCGGTCAATCCTTAGGTGGATCTGACCCTCGGTTCTCCGTCATCGTCACCTAAACCTTCCCGTCACCAACCGGGTAAGAAACCATGGCCCATCCTGTGTCACATACGAAGTAAATGGCCGAAGAGTTGCGAGGTTTTGTGGGTGTGCCTGAGAGAAATAGATATCGTGCACATCACACAAACAAAAGGGCCACTTATTGTGGGTTTGGGACGAAGATGAGGAACGGGAGGAGAGGAAACCCGGGTTGCAGACACGACGGATCGACAGGCACCTTGCGACGTCGGAGGTGATCGACGTAGGACTTCACCTGTTGTCGGTGTTGGTTGTGATCGACACTTCGAGTCAATGCCGGAGTGGTGGAGGATGGTAACAGCTGTCGCATAAGATGTTGCTTGTCCTTGTCCTTGTCCATCCGCGCTCAGAGCTTCCTGGTTCCCGTACATATGGCGCACATATCACGAGTTCCGCGGGCTTCCTGCTTCAGAACCGTAACAACTCTTGCGTGACGAAACCGATGATATACAATTTCCACAGTAGACCATAGATTTGGAAGACGCAAGGAATCGCGGTGGCATCTTCTTCGGTAGAAGCACCACCCGTCCCCATGGTCCACCACGAAAGGCGTTAGAACCACCTTGATGTCTCTGGGAGTGAGGAAGTCCTACATCCCCAATCCGAAGCGTGATATGAGTACCGAGTGGCCGGGATGATGACCTTCGCATGTAAGCAAGCAGCGCCCGAATTAAGAACCGGTCAATTCTTTGGTTCCTTCATGCAAGACGAGTTGCTGCAGCGCCATGATTTTGTCGCGCAGTTGGAAAGTACGAAGTAAATTGTTTCCGACCGGTATCGATATCAACTCAATTCCAACCACACTGGCTCATGTTACATGTATCAATGGGATAGGTTTGATGGTGATGACCCGTCCCATCACACACACTTGCCGAGTCAATTCTTCGTTCCCGCACACGGCACACTCGGCCTATCGACGTGCTTCATCATTGATAGATTTCGTGTTATAGCATACTCGGGGAATGGACCCGAATTCGTGCGCAATAAGCGAACCAAGACCCATTTCAGGTTCCAGACATGATAGCGGAAGGCACTTAAGAGGCTGCGTCAATTGATGCCCCGCCCAAAACTACGAAGTAGATCGTCTCTAGCTTCCAGATTCTGCAAGCTTCCCCGTGCCGGAGTTCCAGATGCTGCAAGTACTATAGTGCTTGGGACCTTGCTTAGCAGCAACCAACCATCAACCAGGCGGCGGATCGTTCTTCGGTACGAAGTCAGTCAGTAAGTTCCCTCCTTCGCGGGTGTTGCATCCATCGCCGGTCTTCGGTGGTGAGATACTGACCGTGCAAATATAATTGGCTCTCTCACTCGAGAGAGCAGTGCCTGGTCTGATGTTGGCCTGGGCGTCGTTGGGACTAAATCATCACGAGCTGAACCCCGGCGGTGGCGTCTTCCTTCGCCCCTGCCTGAAGCTTTGTCTCTTTCACGTTATTTTTTGGCTTAACCACGAGGGAGATATTTCGTAGTAGTATATTCTTGCTTCGGACAGGACGCCGTGGGGTTTCCTGTTGCTTCTTTCTATTACTATAGGAAAACTGCCTGATCTTACGACTAGGGTATGCTGCAGGCTGTGTTTCCACTTGGGTGCTCTTTGGTGACGCCACGCTCGGACCCTTGTGGAGGGGTCGAGGCGGGGTCTCAGATAGACTCGTCGAGGCACAAAGAAACAATCGAGAAGAAGGGCACGCCGAAGAACAAATCAATCCCACGAGTATGAGAAACCCCGCTTCAGGGACGAGGGGTGCGGAAAGGGGGAAAAAAAAAAAAAAGAAGACACTTGGAAAGAAAGTTTCCGTGGGAAAGAAGGGTCAAAGGGTTCCAAGTCGATTCTATCTCCATCGCTAGTGTGGATAGCGTGGATGTGGATCACATGCAGCTCGGGGCTTTTGATAAGCTGTCATTCAAGATGGACAGTGATGGACTATCCGAATGGGTAGTAGTATGAAGTCGTGGAGCGTGTGCGCTGCAGCTTCTACGTTTGAGATATCGAATGCTACTGACACCATGGACCTTTAGTGTGCGCAAGTTCGTCGCATCAAGAGCTGGATTACCCACTACGCTGCAGGACACAAAAGAGGGGATTGTCCAGCCCTCGTGGCCTTTTCGCGAACGAGTATAGCCAAGATGGAGGGGGAAAGGTGGGCGAACGGTGGGGATCAGGATCAGCATGTAACCCTAGCTATTGCACACCTGCTCCCCAGATTCTTCGATGGTTGCTTTCTGGCGTCGTGCCGCGTACGCTTTGAAGCTATCGTTGACAAGTTATACCTTTCTTTGCGCCAAGCAATGCTGGTGGGTGGGCGTGTATGCAGATGTGGTGTCCGTGAAGGTGTGCGCTCGGGGAATCGCAAGACAACCTACACGGACAAGAGGAACTCAAACAGACGGAGACCTTTCTTCTTCATCCAAGGACAGAACACACACACACACACACACACACACCACGGCACCTCTATCTCCTCCCATGAACATGAGGTTCAGAAGTGGGCTTCAAAGGGGAAAGGGGGGCGCAGTAGATCAGATCTAATGCGTTTCTCCTGAACCTCGTCGAAATCCTTCGCCTCCCCCCGTCATCCCCAATTCCTCCGACTCGCTTGAGGCCTTCGTGCAGATAAGCGATTGGCCCCGACTATAGTTCGGTCTTTTTTTCTTTTGGGGGAAAGCTTCTCTATGGTATTCCGTCCGCACGTGGGCCGTGGGTCTGATACGACCACGTGCAGGTCCCAAACAGCAGGATGATCTAACTCTGTTCTTCCTGTCAAAATCTGGCGATTTTGCTATTCTTGATCGTAAAAGAGGGCGCATGGGCCAGACAAAATGGGGCGGGACCCAGAGACGGCTCGGCCAGAGATACTGTCAGAGATGAGCACGAGAAAGGAGCTTCAGAACACATGCAGTCGGAATCGGGAGAGAAGAAGAAGCACGATCTGCATCTGAACAGAAGGCTGGCATACCCACTAGCCTTATGTCGGCCCCCGTGTCTTGGGAGTCGCATTCCGTGGCCGCACCTATGTCGCAGAAGCAGAAAGGGTGTAGGAGATGACGTTTGCGATTCTGCGAGGCGGCGGAGGATGGTGCTCCATGTCCGGAGAACCGTTTTCCGGCGGCCATGGCAGAGGAGGAGCAACGGGCTGTACTGGGCAGTGTAAGTGAAGTAGGAAAGGATGATCTATCCTGTTATTGAAACCGCGGTTGAAAGTGATATCTCCCCCCGCCTCCGTCCCAAGCCTGTCCGCCTTGGTCTTGTCGGGGGCGCGATCCACACCCCTCGGTCCGTAATGTTGCTGTCGTCGCGGCATGTCCCCAGTGATATTTTCAGTATGCAGGAGAGAGGCATTGCATATCAGAGTCATCTGTAGTGTAATGCGAAGAGGAGACTCCATAGCCAGTGCTTCTTCTTGATTTCCTTGCTCCCGAAGAGTTCAAGCTAGCATACCATGATTCATGCGTCCATACTAGGATCAAATCAGGATGGAGACGTTCGGGCGACGTCCCCAGAGGAGAATAGACGGAGCGAGATGAGGGTAGTTTAGGTCTCAATACGCTGTAGATCCCAGCTCTAGTGGCGATGAGTTCTTTTTCCGCTCCTAGCCTTTCTCTCTCTGCCTAGTCTTTGCTTGGTTCCAAGTCTGCTGCGGGTGATGCCTGGGGAGAATTCTGGCCCGGGGGGGTGATGGGACTTCCCTTGCTCTCTGAATGAGAAGTGAGATATCTCTCTGTTGGGCCTTAGTCTAGACTCTGACCACGGGCGCTTGCGCTCGTGTTGATACCGTGAAGCTATAGGCCTTGGCTAGATGTATTTACACTGCTAGAAATTCTGTCCGGGGTAGCGAATAGTAATATGTGGTTTCGCCGCTATCACTGCTAACAGGTTCATGGGACCTGCACCTAGCCTCAAACTCAATTCCATGTCTCTTCGACTGCTCTTTGCCTTTCCCTCGCCAACTTAGTCTACATCCGTGGGACCTTTCATATACGATGAAGGGTCGAAGAGATGCCGGAGAATTATGACAAGAAGGAATAACTGATTACTTTGGATCAACCATGCTATGAGTTATCGCGATATGCCTCACTTCACACTTACACTGGTGACGAGTGGAGTTTGCATCTCCTTGGGCCTGCTTGTCACTTGCGGTTGAGTAGAGCATTATACTTCCAGGCTCATAGAATCGAGATAATCACTCAAAGCTTCATCAAGACGCCCTCAAACAACGAGCTCCTGGCTGCCGGCAGAGAAGGCTAACGAGGAGCAGGGCAGGGACGACCTAACATCCCCATTATCTTCCGGTAGACTGCGGCATAACGGAATGGCATTGCTGGGGTCAGTGGGTTAAAAAGACCAGGATTACTACCTACATATTATAGATGTTGGAAACTCGCAACCTATTCAGGTGTCAAACAGGACTCGATCATCGGAAGTCATATTATAGCTCATCATGGGAAAAAAAGGCACTATCCAACGCCGTTCCCGAACGCCATCGTTTCGTGAGTCCACATCGAATCAACTCGTCCAAACCCGCCTTCGTGAGCGGGCATTCCAACCTAGTGCCTCATCTTTCCAGAGAGACCTTTCCAAAACTCGCACCTCTCCTTCTGCCCGGCTCCTACGGTCTCCATCCGAGTCTTGTTTAGCTCAACCACCAACCTCTCGCCATCCCTCCACCACGAATACCACTTGGGCGCTGAGCTATGTCGGTAAACGTTCGGATCCAGAGCCCTGACAAACGAAATATAGTAGTTCATCAGCAGAGGCACGATGGGTGCGTTATAACCGTAGTAGCTCTCGGGGGTCGGCAGGCTGCCGGGGCCCAAGATAGCAGCGGAGTCAAATGTGTGGGTTACGCCGACGCCGCGCCATGTATTGGATAGATCCCAAACATTATACCTGTAGGACCATATGCTGGCGTAACTTGACTTGGTGAAGCTGTCGAGGATGAGATTGGTAGGGCAGATGAATGTTGCCTCGCCGTACGCCTTGCTTGTTGATGGGAACCAGGTATTGTGCTGGGGAAGTTTCTCCATGAGGGGGTAGCGCTTGATCATGGCTGGAGTATCGGAGTCCGTAAGACCAGGGAAGTTATCTCGAATAAACGACACAAATTCATCCGGGGTAGCTGCGTTGGCAGAGAAGACGGAGCCCTCTGGGTGGAAAACAAAACATGCCTTTAGTTAGCTTGCGTCTTTTTGGATTGCGGGGGACTAGGATCGCCTTACCGTCGGTTACTGTACCGAGCATGAGAGGTACCTTGATAAAATTTCCCGACTTGAACATGGCGGATGGCACGTCACGAATGAGGTCTCCGTCGACGCATGGGGTCCAGTACCAACGTGATGCTCTAGTTCTTCCGGGGAACGAAAAAGCCCGATTGGCAACGTCTTGTAGTTCCTTTCTGCTCTTTCCACGAAGGCAAGACATGGCATCATCCTCGAACTCACAACCGACTAACTCTAGAGTCTTGTTAAACTGGTATCCGAGGTCCTCAACACGAGGATGTGTCGGGAAGAAGACCGATTGGGTCATAACGCCAGCAAAAAGTCCGTCATCACGACCGCCATTGGCGGTAAGATGGAGGGCCGCGGAGCCAGCACCAGCGGAGACACCGTGAATGATGACCCGGTTGGGATCACCTCCGAACTATTGTGATAGTCAACATGGCTGTACGCGGGAACTACGGAACTACGCAAGGGCTGGCGTGTAGATGAGCTGACCTTAGATATGTGTCTTTTCACCCACTTGAGCAGGTGGATTTGGTCTAGCAATCCGACGTTCAAATCGCCATCCTGGCTAACTCGCTTATCGGCAAGAAATCCCCAGAGGCCGACACGATAGTTGAAGTTCACAAACACGAGGTTCCTGCCTGACTGTTCGACAACAGTAGAGCCATTGTAGTCGGGATTGCTATTGGCAGTGTATCCTGTACAGGGGGTTCCGGGGGCTATGTTATCATGAGAGGAACAAGGGAGCAAAGGTCGAAGAAGGCGGTGACATACCTCCTCCCTGGATATATACCCAAACGGGGAGTTTGGAAGACGCGGTGGCATTTGTGGGAGCCCACACATTCACAAAGAGACAATCTTCTGATTCCGCAGGATTATAAGTGCCGTGGTCGGTACCGAGACACCTTGGCCCAAACTGTATATGAGATGTTAATCTAGTTCACGGAACCCACCTCACCAAAGGATCCATGTATAAGGGTTGGGCACATACTGTGTTCGCTTGCTCTCTCAAGGCCGTATTGGGACTGGGATTTATCGGCGCCCGCCATCTCAAGTCATTTATGGGCGGACTTGCGTAGCGAATGCCTAGATACTGATCCACACCATTGGATAGATGGCGACCTTCATAAATGGCATTGGGCAAGAGAACTTGGGGCTTTCGTTCCTGTGATTTATGGGTTAGTAACACACAAAGACAGAGATCAATGGGGCCGCGCGGGGGTCAGCATTGCCAATGTTGTATCTGGGGAGGAGAGCACAGCAACGGCGCTTCATGGCGAGTGGTGGCGATTGAAGCAAGGACCACCTCAAGGCCAACCGAGGGCGAGTGGGAGCACAAGACAGCATAATACAATAAATATATACAATAGAATCTTAAGGGCTTTCGTTGTCTTACCGGTATAGGTTTAGGCCCGCGAAAGATCCGAGCAAAAGAATGAAAGAGGCCGGTGAAGACGAACCAGACTATAGTCACGATGAGCCAGCCTTTGACAAAGAGGCGGGCTGGCGACGGCCGTGGCCTCTGAGGGGCGGAGGTCGGGAGAAGGGCGTCAACATCAAGTTCATCATCCATCGCCAGATCTCACTAGCTCCGGCTAGAAAACGCCGCCCGTAAGAGATTTCGGCAAGATGTGAGCTGAGATTAAGTTAAGTAACAGTACCGGCACGTCAACTGGCTGGACAGCTATGATGATCGAGGCTCATTCATGGCGATGTCCGGACAGGATTGAAGTAAGTGGCCGAGTAGGGAAACTGTTAAAGTGAAAGTAGTGAAGGAGTGTTAATCGAGCGATTGTGTAATAACCTATGAGTATAGTACAGGAGCAGTTGAAACTGGAGCACGAGGCTGAGAACCTCTGGCCAATGTCTGGATGCAGCAAGTTGCCAAGAGAGCGACGAGGATCTTCGGGTGAACTAACCGAAGTCTCATGCGGGGGGAGACCTGAGACGCCGCGTTGGTGTTGGTTGAAGCGTTGGAACTTGGGGAACTTGGGAACCAACACTTCTTGGGCGTGGCAGGGACTGACAGCTGGCATTCATCTGGCCAGCTGTCGGTAGGCTTGAAGCGCGAAATACAAGTTACACTGCGGGCACTTTGGTCCGACTCTGCGTTAGCTCTGGCAAGGGTCCGCGATAAAAATAGATCAGTGGTGCGATGCCACATTTAACCAGGAGAAGGAAGCAATATGAGCCTGAGCTTCTCCCACTTGATTATGAAGTGAGGTTCTTCTCATGCTGTGATACGTGATGGGCGTCGTTAGGGTTTCTCCCGATGTACTAAGTAATTGATTGCTTTTTCCCCTCAAGGTCTCCTCCATCCAGTGTGACCGAGACACATCGTGGCAAATGGACGAGGCGCAATGCGGCACAGCAAAAGTTTGGAGCATACGTGTTTGCGTTGCCCGTTGTCCTCGTCAGCAACGACATAAACCGAGCTTTTGCTTTCATTCCACATATGGCCCACCTGCCATGCTACAATCCTGGAAGCAAGAGTCCGAAGTAAGACGACACTAGGACCATGTCGAGGACTTCTCGAAATAACTCATCATCCCCATGAAATTACACCAATATTCGCCAGCGGCAGCCTGGGTTAACAACTTGATCGAGCTTCGTCCCAAGATTGGAAGGCGTGGGATGCAAGACATGCTCAAGGATCAACCCAAATATCCGACAATATATTACCACCCAGCATCGCCACTTCCTGACCCCTCGGACGTGTCCTCTTCATGCTCCAGGAACCAAAATCCCTGAGGGACTGCATCGCAGTACAGTTGAGGTTGCAATGTTTGTTCTCTTGTTGGCTGCACTTGGCGTGGAGGGGCTGTCGCCCAGGCGCTAAGTTGGTTGATTTGCCCGCGTCCCATGTACACCACTGGACGTGTGCATCATTGATGCATTTGACGTTACTTCGTACGCACATTGTGGGCGGATGTGCTGCTCAACCTACAAAAGGTCACTGTGAAGTGTGTGATTGATGTATGAGTAGACGCTGGCTGGATGTGAATACAGCCATATAGAATCCTGGACCTGTGCTGCAGTGCAATTGCAGCAAACCATCAAAAGTGCAAGGCCCGGGCTGTGCATCGTTCAACCGGGCATGACGGTATGGAACGTTCAAGTAAGAAGCATTGATGTTGTCGAAGTATAACGATGGAAGGGCCAAGTATCATTTGAAGGCCAGGAATCATAGTTTGATACTTGAAGTAAGTTGAAGTCCCGGTGTGCAGTTTAGTGAATGTTTACACGCAAACACACCATTTCGTACGCTCTGGGGCCTATGGAGTGTATCAGGAACCGACCGCTAAAATTAGCACGGTTCAATCATTGAAGTGTTCAATGATAATGATGGACTTGTAGTTCTCGAACTAAGCCTAAGCACCTGTAGTAATTCTCACGTAATTCCGCCTTTTTGAACTATTGGCAACATTGAACAATCTCGATCAATTGACGGCAGTCAAATTCAATTAAACATTGGAACATTGGAACATTATTGATGTTACTCTGCACCTGTACTGCTGACGCCTTCCTTCAAGTTCGACGCCACAATCTCCTGTGGACCAAGCGGGAGGCAAGGATGGAGACGTGGGTACTTCGCCGTTGGCATAGAACTTGATTATTGCAGTTGAGACATAAGAGGGAACGGGAACGTCTGGCCTTGGACAGGATTTAGCCATGGCTATTTGATCAATCCATGTCCATGTCCACCTCCTCAACTTTACAGCCACGACCAGGAAGACGAAGATTATTATTGCTTATTATGCACGGCGTCTCTGATTCGTTTCTGTTGTTGTCCCTCAGTTTGCATTTGATGTAGCTCTCTGCTCTGTCTGTCCTGCGGTCTGGTTTATCTCTCTTCTCGGCTCCCGTGTCACCCCGAGATGAGCCTTCTCCGCTCCCTTACATTTTAGTCCATCCCATGTCGCACTCATTCTCCGCCAGAGTCTCACCAACCTCCACATCGTCGACGAGCCCGACTCCGAGCCCACGCCGCACCCACTGCACATACGATGGGCCATGGCAAAGCGGGCTCCGATGCCCGTGCCAGTCCGCCTCCCGGTGAAGACACGTCCTCGACATCTTCGACATCATCGGCATCCCAGCCGTCGTCGAAGGCGCCATCCATTGTCGATGAAGAGGCCTGCGATGCCGCCTTTGATAGGTTACCCGACGAGATAATCCAGCAGTATGCGACATCGCTCTATCTGTTCCTATTCTAATTTCAATTCCCATACTCTGAACTCTCTCTATATAAGACAAGACTAACCTGCCGAACCACGGTGTAAACGAATAGGATCCTCCTCCTAACCGACCCCGACTCCTTCGCGTCCCTTATCCTCGTCAACTCGAAATGGAGACGGGTCTCGCAGCAGGCCCATCTCTATGCCCACCAGCTGTCTAAATGCCCGTCCTTCGCCGCGAGCCACTCGGCCCTATCCCTCGCCTCTGTCAAGGACGAACAGCTTCCCAAGTTTAGGAGACTCTTCGCCCGTGAAGTCAAGCGCAACCTGTTCCAAGCCTATCTACGCCCGTCCGAGACGCGAATCAAGCTCATATCCAATTCCATCAGTTCGGCGTCATGTCCCGGCGGAGAGGGGATGCGTTTCAGCCCATCTCCGAAAGGTCATCATATCCTAGCCTACAACTCCTCCCGTATTTATGTCATCGACGTACGTGCGCCCGAGATCGATATCAAGCGGGAGTTCAAGATATTGCGCCGCCCCGTGTCGGCTTGTATCAAAGATGATGCTACCCTATTGGCCGTCTTGTCCATGGAGATGCAGGTCGACGTTTACAATCTCGAAAGTTCCCCGCCGAAACGGACCCAGTCTATCCTGCTCGATCATAAACCGCGCACTATAGCCCTTTCGCCCTGCGGCAGCGTTCTCGCCGCTGCGTATGAAGGTGGCATAGAGGTTTCTGCTCTGAACCCGGACGCGGTGACAACAAGCCAGCGCGCCGTCAAGTGCGACGCTGTCGACTCCCTGGCCTTCTCCCACGATGGGACCCAGCTTCTGGGAACCACTCTACAGTCGTCACACCAGAACACCGTTATTCTCACCGCGCCTTATTACGATCCGGGAAGCCACATGGCCGAGAACACCACTAGTGCTATGTGGACCACTTCTATCCTCTTCCCCAATTCGAGCCGCGATTGCAGCCACGCCGTCCTCGTGCAGGATTCCGACAACGAGGAAGCGAGCTGGACCTTCACCTACGACCGCAGCTTCGAGACTTTCCGCGCCGTACGCATCGACGACCTACGTAATGGCACCACCTACTTCACCGGCCCTCTGCCTCAAGCTGCCTCGTCGACTCCATTGTTGCCTTGCACACTTCCATCAGCCTCGTATCATGGCGAGCTAGTATCTGCTGGATTTCAGGGTAAAGAGGTTTGGATTTATGGCGTCCCCGAGGACCTCAGCGCCGTCAACCCGCAATTGATTCTTCCGTACGATGGCGCGACTCCGCCTGGTGTATCCGGCAGGCGTGGCGGTGGTCACTCACCGCGAACTGCGCCGAGGATACCAGATGCTGAGGATGTAAGGGTGCCCAAGTGGCAAGTGCTGTGCGATAGCCAGCGAAATATGCTCATCTCTGGTCGCAAGATTACTGAGCTGGAACCGGTTAGCCATGTGAAATGGGTTGCCGGATTCGGAGGCCATTCCTCTAAGGAACGCCTAGTCATCACAGCCCGTGGAGTGAATGGCTCGAGACTTATTACCGAGGAGGAAGACATCGATTTCGTAGACGGTGGCATCATCTCCCTCTTAGACTTTGATTATGGCTTCGAGGATGGCAAGAGGAAAGACATCACCATTGAAGTTGGTACCAATAATGCTGAAGTCCTCGAAGAGGAAAAGCGTGACCTCGATACTGAGGTCGCTTTGGTCAGAAGACGCACGGTAGCCCAACGCCGGGGCGGTACTGGCGGTGCCCTGCATCGTATGGCTACCACGACAATCCCTCCGAGAAATCCTCGCCCACCCCTGCCCAGCGGCGCGCATGAGGATGACGACGATCCCTTACAACCAAGACGCATTGGAGTGTTACCAAGGCCCCCTCAGCCCGTTCCGCAAGTCACCTTTAACGATGACAACGACACCGATTCCATCGAGGAGCAAGAGGCTTTGGACGCGCCCTATACTCAATCCAACCCGCGATCCGTCTCTACCCTGCGACGAGCCGCTACCGCTGCGGCCATGAGCCAGCGACTGCGCGAGACGCGCTTCGAGTACCGCCGTGCCGATGGTCGACGGGAGCATCCTCACGAAAGCGATGCCGATAACTGGGTCCCACCCCCGCCCCCTTACCAGAAGGATGCGGTCGTCGATCTGCCTGCTTTCCTTCGCCACCCCGCCATTACGCCTGCAAACCTCACCGAGCCCCACAACCCTCCAACTGCTCCCTCTGCCCACGCCACTTCCTCGAGACCAGGCGAGAGGTCCTGGGCCCGAATCAACAGTATCAATAGCATCCCGCCCATGCCAGCGATCCCCCGTCAGTTTACCGACCCGGGGACCCTATCAAGTGCTTCCCCCTTAGCTGGACCAAGCAATTCGCTCCGACGCAATAACAGCGAATCCTCATCGAGCCGGCGACGCCCGCTCTCCGACACATTCTCGGACGCTCGCTTCACAGTTTCCACTCTCCAGTCTCCTTCTGCTGCGAGTGTCGCAGCTTCCCGCTACTGGGATGACGCCGACCCGAATCGTCGCCTGACGCAGTCGCCCGTCAGCGACTCGACAACCGATACCCTTTCTTACCGACATAGTATCCGAGGACCTTATTCTAATCCGCTAGCGCTGAACCCACCCGCAATGAGACCGGTCGCCGCTGAGGGAAATCTCCGTAGAAGAGGACAGCAGCTTCAGAGAAGTACAACTTCGGGGAGAAGCGAGAGAGAGTTACGAGAACAATCGCCAGCATCTTCTCAAGCTTCGCGCCAAATATCGGCGCCCCAACAATACCAACCACAGCAGTTATCCCGCCGAGAAGGGCCACCCACTCTTGATCTGCATATTCCGTCGCCTACGCTATCTACAACGGCGTTCAACAGGCATAGCGCTACTTTCTCCAGGGAGAGTAGGAGCGACTTAACACCGATATCCACGAGGTCCCAAGTGAACGCTCCCAACTCGCTCTCGAGTATCCTAGAATCAAACCAGGCACCGGGTGAGCATGGCACTGGATACCCTCGGTCCGCACCGCCACGCGCAGAAAACTTCGGCATATTGACCGCTTCCTGGCTACCCGTAGTCCCAGGCACCGTGGCCGGCCCCTCATCGGCTGCCGCGAACCCCTCTTCTCATCCGCGCGCCATGACCCCGGGAGCCTGGCACCGCGCCCCCACGCCCCCGGATCAACCCCTGATCATCAGCACGCCAACGGGCGTGTCCGGCGCCTATGATCCTCCGGAGCGGAACCCGTCGATGCGCCGCTCAGAAACGCCCGTGTTCGCACCCACACCGCGCCGTCCCCAACCGCGAACGGAACCGGGCGTCCCGGGCCCGTCGATCGATCGCATCGAGAATTACTACAATAATACGCAGCTGGGCCATAGCACGTCGACGGCGTCGAGGCAGGCTAAGATGCACAGGCGCCGGAGCCGCATTGTTAGGCGGACGGCGTCGAGGCGGAGCGTGGCGAGGAGCGTTAAGGAGAGGCGGAGGGGCAAGTTTCGACATAGTGCTGGCGCGAGGAAGAGGGGCGGGCCTGATGTGGCGCCGGCGGCGAGGAGTGGGACTGGGACTGGTTGGAGTGGTACGTATGACTATGTTTTTGAGGACTGGAAGGGGAAGGATAAGAAGTGTGTTGTGATGTGAGGAAGGAAAGGGACTGTTGTGTTTCTTTCCACTCTGGCCAGTTTTCTGTTGCTTTCTTGGGAGGGTATACCAGTCAGTCTATTGAACTGTTTCTTCTTTTTTTTTTCACTTTGTTTCCCTCCCTACTTGCTGCCAAGGAGCTTGATTTTGAGCTCCTATTTGACTTACGGGTAAGGCGTTTCTTATTCCTGTTTTATAGGGAGGGTAGTTGTGATGGAGAAAGACAAAGAAGCCTGGGGGGACTGAAGTGATGGAGGAGAGAAACTACGTTTCTAGTGATTTTGATACCTTTGCAGACTGGACTTATGATTTTAATGAATGGATATGTACAGTTCTTCGACTTTATTTAGACTATACTTGCTACTTTTGCGACTTTCGTAATCTTGTTAGGAGTGAACGTGGATAATGTAACTCTTGATGCTATCTATTGATAGTATTGATCTATGCCGTCTTTATTGACAAAATCGAAACCGAAAAAAAGGAAAGGGGTATTAAACAAACTTGGACAGCTATAGTCCTCAAACAGTATCGTGAGACGAAGACAAACCCTCCTCCCCGTTTTCCAAAGAAACCCAAAACTCCCCCTTCGCCTAAAATAGATTCGTTTTATCACACACCTGTCGATGGAACAAACTGTGAGAGAGTGGTGTTTCTGGAAAAAAAAAAAGAAACAAGAAAACAAATATCTCCGCGAGGATGACGAGGTATAAGAAAAAGAAGAAAAGGAAATGGAAAAAGAAAGCGACCGTGAAACAACCTCGCCATGCTCTGTCCTGTCGTCCACTAACCGAAAACAAAAGGAAAAAAGAGATGAGAATGTAAAAAGAAAGAAAAGAAGAAGAAAAAAGGAGGGCGTCGGATGTGATAATTGCTCACACCTCATTAATGCACGATAAATAGAAGAACCCCGTAATCTTACCCTCAATCCCCCCTAAATCCATCTCTAGACGAACCGTCCCCCGGTGTCCACACGCAAAGGTGACGGCACGAACCCCTTCCCCTTATGGACTGGGCCCAGGTCCGCCTGGTCCATCATCTCCGTAAAGGACGTCAACGGCCGGCTCGCATCCCCTCTCTCGACCGTCCCCGGCGCCGCAAAAATATTGATACTCTCGCTACTCGGCTCACGCTGCATTTTCGGCGTGATAGGCCGCGGCGTCGGGCGCGCGACATTCATGGCCCGGATAGGCGGGATGGGGACGGCGGTACCAATGGCAGCGTGGGTACTGCTCCCGCGTGAATCGCGGAGGGTGGCCGAGCCCGTGGGCGAGACGGCGGGGGCATGAGAGTCGCGCTGGCGGCTGAACATGCGCGAGAGGCGATCGGTGCCGGAGAGGGAGGAGGAGGGGCCGGGGGGGCTCTCGGGCTTGCGGATGAAATCTGTGCGGAAGGCGTCGTGGTTGATGATGGGCTCGCTGATGATGTTTCCGAAGGAGGAGGAGGCTTTGGAGTTGCGCGAGCTGGATTTGCCGTTGTTGTCGGGGAGTCGCTTGCGGCGCTTTGTGCGCCAGATGAGGAGGAAGACGATGATGGATACTAAGCCGAGCACGCCGACGAGGACGCCGACTACGACGGCTGTCGTGGGGAAGGCTTTGTCATCGTCTTTTCCTTCGTTCTTGTTCGCCTCGGGATCGGTGGGGTTGGGGTTGGCGGGGCTGGTGCTGGCAGGACCGGTATTGGCGGGGTCACCGGTGTTGGAACTGGTAGGCGGTTGTGTAGACGTGCTTGTTGGAGGCGGAGACCGGCTCGCGCCGGGCGGCGGTTGAGATTGGTCGACGTCCATAGCACACTTGAGTTGTTCATTGCATGTGTATCCGAAGGGACAGCACGCGTCGCCGCACTTTCCCAGTACGCTGGTTAAGGCAGTCGTGTGGATCTTGGCATCGGGTTTTCTGCTGGCGTCTTGAAGCTCCATGTTGCAGTCGATAGGCTCGATCTGCACGCAGCGGGCGCCGGCGGGGCAGCATACCGCCGTCGTGTTTCCCGCGAGAGGCATACATGTGTGGTCGGAAGGGCAGCAGAAGTTGGAAGGTAATTCGGAGGGGCAGGATGCTTGTCCTGCGGCGGCGCAAGTTGACTGTCGCGTAAAGAGGTCTCTGGCGGGTATCGCGGAGGTTGGGGTGAGAAGAAAACATAGTAGTAGGGCTCTAAGGCCCAGAGGGTACGTCGACATCGCTTCGCGATGCTTGCACCCTGGCCTGTCGTAGAGGAGTGTAGGATGCTCAGTCCGAGCTAGCATCAACAGGTTGGGTGTCCTGGAGGGAATGGAGTAGTGTGCGATGTGCAATTCCAAGCGCAGCTGGAATGCCTTACCAGGGCAGCTTCGGATTTGGGGATTGTGGAGACGTGGAAAGTATGAAAGACAGGTTGATATTACTAGAATGATTCAGGTGGATCGAATAGAGTCAAGGGTCGTGAAGAATGTTTTCACTTTCACGTTGAGTCAAGCAAAGAAGACACAAGGGAAAGAAATAGAGACTCGAAGAAAGTTTGGTCGGGGAGGCTCAAAGGAAGAAGAGGAGTCAAGGGAGTGGAGAGGAATAGCAATCACGATAAAGAAGAGAACATGGAAGCGGACCTCGACAGAAAGAAATGGATAGAACGACGAGGGAGACTGTGGAAGAACAAAGACCACATGAGCACATTCACTGGCGACGGGTGACTGGCAAGGACTTCGGCTCTAACGAAGGACATGCAAGACGAATGGAGAAACGCGCATATGGAACAAGAAGAGAATTTCTTCATTCAAGCACCCAGGAACTGGACTATGCTCGGTTAGGAGGCATCCTAAGACGCTTAGGGCCAAACTCGAGCGGCATCGATGGACGGATGGACGATTTCCTGCATGGTCGAGTCAAAGAAACGCATCATTGACATTTTCTCCGCGTCGAAACAATGCATTGTGACCCTATCAACCCGGGCCCGATGCGGACTTGGCCAGAGCCCTGCAGACGAATGGGGGGCTGTCGATGCAGCGAGCGGTAACAGGGTGGGAGCTCGATGGCCCAGAAGATGCCTGGAGGCCATGATGATGGCTCCACCTTCTACCTACTATCAGCGGTTTCAATTCTCCACCTGAGGAGATGGGGGGCATAGCCTGCACTCAATCTGGCAATAATACTGGTGCCCAGAGACCCGGAGACAGATGTCGACGTAGATGTGGACTCATCGTTCATGAAGATGGCTGTCTCGAGCAGCCAATAGCAGCGACGACGCACTTGAGCGCCAGAGGTAAGAAGCCACAGCGACTAGATCCGGCGGCATGGGATGGATGGTGAGGCAGTGCCGTCTTGACTAGGATTAGAGCTGGGCAAACGAGAGGCTGTCGTGTCGTCTTCAGGTTTTTAGTTAGGCTGGTGAACGTCCAGTCTGGTGGATTCTAATTTCAGGCGCAAGCGCGTCGGGTGAAGCGCGCGGCTTTGATTGGTGAGCGTCTTCAAACTCCATCTGGGGCAGAAATGAGTGGCTGCGGATTCTGGATTCTTCATTCTCTGTCACTCTGGGGTTGGACCTTCTGGGTTTGGGTTTGTTAGTGGATTCGAAGCCTAAGGCACGAACTTTCAATGCCCAAATACCTGTTCATTGTGCCAGTCTTGACAGCTGGACGGCTTCCATTGCCGGACTCCCACTCTCCAACCCGACCGTGACATCAACTGGTGTGTGTTTCCATCGGCTGTCGGTTGTCTCGTCATTGTTTCCTATATACTTCGTACACAGAGCGAAACACTGGCTTACAAGGGTACGGCCAAGCACTCCGTCATCGAGTTCTTCCAGAACTCAGAGGCCGCCCGCGACTACGACGTACGATGAAAGGCCAGGCCAGGTGGCAGGCCCGATCCCAGCATGCTTTCGATGCCTGAATTTCCAAGGCTTATGGGAGGGCCGAAAATGCGGTCAAGATCAATCGATCACGGCTCGGAGGTCCTAACCTCCGCTGCGGCCGCCCTCAGCAGGGTATCCAAGCCCTAACGAGAGACAAGATTCCATGGCATGCCCAATGCTCGCACTCCCTCCCCGTGCTGTACTGTAGTGTCCTCGCCTTGGTCCTGACCGGGACCGCCATTACGGCTCTGCAGGAAAGGGTACTTCCATGTGCTGTATGAGCATGAATACACGTATGCTGGTCGACGCCGGTCTTGATGCTGGCCCGCCCCAGCCTAGCGCACACGCCGCACATGAACGTGGCTCTGTGAAGAGAGCGGACATGACGTATTTGCTGCCATCTAAACCCGTTTACCATTTTATCAAGAGGGCCATTGGGCACCCATCAGACTGTGCACCAGCTTGCTGTTTCCTGTCCAGTCATCAGGGAGGGATCAATTTACAAGTAAAGACTCACATGAGCAGCGACCAGCAAACCCTTGCTCGGTAAGCCAAGCGGTGAGATGGCATATGACGAACGACGACCCTCGTGAACCCGATCGTCCGCCTTTTGTCGCTTTAGACGGGGAGTTGCCCGACAACTTATCCGCGGCCGCCCATCTCCCGCGCCTTTTCTTCTCTTCCCCGATTCTACGTAGCTCCCTTTCCACATACAAGTGAACACACCCTTTAATGAACGCCTCTTTGGTTCCTCAATAATCCTTGCCCATTCTCCTCACACCCCTCCCTTGCTTGCCGAGGAATGGTAACCATCGACAGTCTATCGAAACCTGCTACAGTCTAGAGCACTGTGCCCTTCGTGAAGACAAACACCCCCCGGTCGCCTTGCGTTGTTGCATTGCCAGGCGGTACGCTACGGAATAAGGTGGGCCGATGCGGAAGTTGATGAACACCTTTGCAACTGCAATTGGGCAGTCCTCTTCATCACGAGCTTTGAGATCGAGTCCTGCCTGGCCCAGTCGGGTTCAGGGTTTGGCTTTTTCGAGTTTTTTTTCCGTTCTATGAGGGCTTTTCAGAGTTTTTCTGGGGTGAAGCAAATGGCCGAGATTTTGTCGTCGCGAACCTATCAAAGGCAATAGGTCGGTGGCCACTTTACCATGCCATTCATCGCTTAATGTTGGGAGGGCGGTGTGTGAGCTTCGAAAATGGGCCGCATCAATGACTCCCACTTCGCTCGCCCTATCCACCTCAATTGATTCCTTGGAAAATCCGTTTTGCTAATTGATTCTCATGGTCCCCTCTCTGCAGGGTCTTGGGTGCCTTTCAAGACCAAAATCAAGGCGAGATTTGGGAAATCATTCCCTCACTTACACGCCCCTCCCTCAACGAGTCAAAACGCGAATGCTGATGCATCTCCTGTTTGCTTCCCTGTATCTTCCGGGTGAAGACCGTCCGAGCCGTTCTCATCAATTATAGATGTCTGCAGCTCGGCAAAGTATTGCCTGTCCCTGACTTGATAGTGCGATAAGGAACAAGGAACCGGAATTATAGGCAGAGAGATTGAGTGAAAGGGCGTGAATAGGATGGAAATGTAAAGGCGCAGAAGGATCGACGCGCAAACTACTGTGTTACGGTACGACTGCCGCATCAGCAATCCCAGGAACTGCAAGCTGTCAATATAACTATGAAGCAAACATTTCGCCTCAGAAGTACGAAGGAATTGATTTATCCCTGCGGGAGAGGTCATTTATCTGCTTCAAACCTGGACTGGACCGCAATTCATCATCTAATATGTGGATGTAACAATCGCTCTGTGCTGCTCTTCCTCTTAAGTCCCAGTCCCGAAAGTTGGTAGTCTGCACCACACGAAGGGGATGCTATTATTCCCTTGCCGTTCGATCAAGGCTTGGACGGGTGCGGGACCGGAACGCTGGCTGTGCCCCTCCAGCACCGATACCATCCCGTATTGAGGCACCTCCGGAACCGGTTCGCCCATGTGAGGCCGATCGAGCCCGAGAAGGCGCGATCTAGCCTTTCGAAGCTAAAGCCCTACCGTAGACTTAAGGAATGGTTTTCTCACTAACCCACGTAAAAATTTCTCGGCTCCTATAGTTTCGGACGACCTTAGGCCGGACTACTAGACACCGAGGATACTTTCAACCTCGAGTTCCGGCACCTCACAGCTAGCCGCACTAGGTCCGCGCCCGTTTCAGGTATCTAGATGATCTAGTCCTAGGGTATCGAGCCCCGTCGGGCAAAGTCCCTACCCAAGGCCTTAGATGTTCCCGAACCAGCCTCGGCCTGCAGCAGGAACGCAGCCCCCAGGTGATGGGGCCGCCGTGGTAGATCTGGCGGGGCTACTCCTCGTGCCCGATCGGGGCTGGGGCCGGAAGGTCAGGTTTGCACAGCGGGAAGAGAACGAGGCATGCACTTTGCCGCACTCTTCTCCCGGGATGAATGAATGTCCTATCCCAAAAGTGGCCCATCCCACACTGGCAACTCTGCTCTTTTTTTAATCGATGATTTATGAAGGTTACTTATTTGCCAGACTAACACTCTATACGGTTGCTACTGGGTGGTTCGGACCCTCGAACTCTTGACTGGCTGGGCTAAGAACAGCTTCTTGCGTTAGTGGTGTTCAGAGACGGACCTATAATTGACATTAAAGTCAGGTCGCTCTGACTGCGTCGTTTAGTCGTTCTATACATTCTGCTTCGACAGAAGCGATGGGAGCCCTACGCTGTATCTCTGTCTGCCATTCTGACTTTGCATCAATATAAGTTGACATCCTAAAAATAAGATAAGGCACCGCACCGCCAACAACTGCTATACATCCTCGGAAGAATCGAACGAGGCGTTGCCCACAATCAAGACAGATTTGCCAGAAATGCAAGCAAGGGGGATTTTAACATCTCTGGCCGGAGTGGAATCGCATCTCTTGATGAGGTCGCCCCTTTGCACACTGGGCCCAATATGTAAGGGAAATTCAACTAATCTGACAGACGTTTTGTGAATGGGCTTTCATAGAGATCCGATATAGTCGTCTCCGGGGAACTTTTGTTTAGTCTTGGCCCCCTCCTCCTCCCTCACCTCGATCACGCATCTTTCGCACACATCCAATCTGTACGTCTCCATAATAATGTACCTACATAAGACTGCGGTTTGCATCCCAGCTGGCCTCTCTTTCCCCCCATCAAGGCATCAAGTTGGGTCGCACAGCGTCTAAGTCGCCATCTTACCCCCCCTCCCCCTCTATTCCCTCATAAAGCGGAAACGCTGGCCTTTTCTTAGTCCAGAATATGCGGCAGATGCTATTCGGGGACTCGGGGTGGGACACCCTGCTCAAGCCACACGGCAAAGTCTTCTAGCTTGATGGCCTCTGATAGGAACGCCTTAGATGCATGTTGGGGGATAAAGTAGGCGCTGGTAAGACGGCATATTACGACCAGATTTTATTGAGAAGCAGCCATGAAAGAGAAAGGAAGAGAGGGGGTAAGATCTTCAAACAGAAGAAGTTGAGAGGTTCAAGGAGGAATGTCCTCCTGCCCACGAAGATGGTTCACACTTAGTTCTGACTGATGCTTACAGAGAGGCTCACATGGCCCCAAAACTTCCGGTTATAGCAGAACAAGTGCAAAAAAAGAGGAAAAGGTGTGATCCTATTCACCCGGCCATCGATAGTGGGGACACCTATAATACAGAACTCTGAAGAAGGAGAGGAAGAAAAGAAACCGTTTCTTTTCTCATGTCTCAGCGGAATGGGTGTAGGGTGAATACCGAATCTCTATCTCTCTAGAAATAGGCGGAATTATGTGAGAAGGACGGAAGGAGAGAAGGTGTATTAATATATTTGAAGAAGATAGCCCGTGCAGAGTAAGATAGCAACAGAGACAACTATGAGGACACAGCGTCAGACCCAAACACAGGCCTTGTCGGACTTTTACCTGGGATCATTGATGCGGAAAGTAATATCGGATAGGGTGGGCGGGAGAGGAGGGGTCCCCGGTATGTGAAGCTGTTCCTCACCTGCCCTCTCGGCTGTTGAGTGCTGCTGTTATACTGGCCAGTCGATCATCATTGATTAATCCGAAGCACATCAATTGACCAAGCCCGATCTTGATGTGTTTAATCTCACAGAAGTCAAGGCACTCAAATTTTAGGGGCTTTTCAAGTAGTTTTTTTGAATGGGGTATATTGTTGATACACACCACACCTGGGGCCCGACAGATGCCGGGCTACCTAGGTCGAGCCTCCCCCATGCCATGAAAATTCCCGTGGTATTCCAGCCATGATCATCCCAGAAACATTTCCCTGTCCGCCCCAAAAACGCCCATGTTTGCCATGCTATGCATTGGTATATTAGAACAAAACGAGGGACATCATCATCCTTTCACCCTTTCACCACCTTCCCGTCCATTCCTCCGAGTGTCCAAGAAGTAATCCAAGTTATCCAAGTGTCGATTGAGCTCTTTTGCTCCTTTCCAGCCATCTTTGCCTTGCGGCAATTCCATCTAGGAATAGAATGTAAAAAGAGATAGAAAAAAAAGTATAAACAGAGAAGTGTATAAAAAGAAAAAAAAAAGAAAAAAGAGAGAGAGAGATTGCTGGGGTCGGCTTCCTTACAAGAGAAGGAAGTCCCAGCCTCTGACTTGCATGATTTCTCGCCAGTGGACGTAGGGTACCACCTCACCACCGTCCGAGGTAGGAGTGCCAACCTTGGATTGGGCATCAGTGTGCTCCCAGACCTCCCTAAGGAGAGCTGCGACGCGGCCCATGGCGCCGAAGTTGCCCATGTCGGCAAGCTGAGCCATGCGGTCGTCGAAGAACGCCCTGAAAGTGCTACCGGGAAGGCTGACCGAGCCGCCGACGAGGTAGACCCAGACGAGGCTTCGATCGAAACCTAGAGGGCCTGACGGGATGTGCTGAAGAACACCAGTGAGCTTCTCAACGAGGCCGATGCAGGAGGTCTGTCCGGGGTTGAACCCAGGGACGAGGCTGCAGAGATAAATGCGAGCCGCGAGCCTAAAGGCAGCAGTCATGTTCTTGGAGAGCTGCTTAGGGGAGAGGGTTCCATTGGCATTGAAGGGCATCTTGGGCCCAGACTCGCCCATCTCGGTGAGACCAATCTGGTCGCCGAGTGCATGAACGTGCTGGCAGAGAATCATGTCATCCATGCCATCGCGCTTGAGCGCCTCGAGACAAGCGATCTCGGAGATGAGGTACATGACCCTGTCATCACATCCCATGAGCTCACGGAGCCCAAGGCTGGGGTAGCTAGAGAGGTGCTTCTCGCGGAAGGTGTGAGCGAAGACGGGTGCCTGACCCTGCATCGCTGCACCGATAATGTCAATCCACGAGGTGAGAGTCATGTTGAAAGGAGTCGGCGCGTGGACCTCGTTCGGGTCCGCGACCAGGGTGGGCAAGTCAAGCTTCTGGACGAGGCTGACTGCGGCCTGGAAGTGCTGGTGCCATGGGATATCGGGAAGACCATCGTCAAGGTTGCCGACGATGGATTGGAAAAAGATGAGGCCGAGAGTGGCCTCGAGGATCTGCTGATGGTCCTCGTCGCGGTTGAGCGCCTCGCAGAGAGTAGAGATGGTGGCATAGCGATGCCTCATGATGTCCTGGTCAATCTCCTCGGCGGGGATGTTGGTTGTAGCCTTGAGGTGCTGGGCGGCAATGCCGAGGCAGCAGTGGAGATAGGACCTGTTGGTCTGAAGAGCAGGGAGGACGAGGTCGGATCCAACAGAACCGTGTTGGTTGGTGTCGAGGATAGGGAAAATTGAGGGCAGGACGGATTGGATGAAGTGATCCAGGAGTCTCTGATCAGTCTCATCCAATTCGATCGCCACCTGGCGAGAAGTCATGGGTGGACCATGGGAGAAGTCGAAGAAGTGAGGGTTGATGGTCTCCTCAGTGAAGGACTCAGTCTTCTCCTCGAGAACCTGCTCGGCCCACTCGCCAGATGAGAGAACTGTGCCCGGGGGTGGAGGGGTGTGTATTGTGCTAAAGGTTGAGACGGTGGATTCCTTGAGTGTGGGAACGTCGTTGACATACATTTGCCTCTCAGTCTTGACGTCAATCTCATAAGGGTAGAAGGGCGCACCAAACATGAAGCTAGGGTGTAATTGAGGAGTGGAGTTGAATGCATCGTACTCCGTTGGCGGGCTGTTGAAGTTGAAGGCGCCGGAGAAGTGAGAGTCAATTGATCCAGATCGGCCTCGATCGAGCGGATCTGAGAGGGTAGCGGAGGTGGGAAGAGAGTGTGATAGGCCGGGAGGAGTTGTGATGGTGGTCTGGATCGTTTGTGTGGATTTTCCGGCGAGCTTCTTGCGCTTGATGATCTCCTTAATGTCGTCCTTGTGTTGCTTCCGGGCTTCGTTATTGCTCCACCACATTGGCCTCTTGTATTCGCAGCAGAGTCCGAGATTCTTGCAGGCGGTGCAGAGCGGGTTGCCTTCATCGCACTTTTTTCGCCTTAACCGGCAAGTGTAGCATCCTATAATTGCGAATTGCGTTAGGCTCGTGGCACATGAATAATAGGAAGGGGAAAAAAAAAAAACAGTGGTTGTTTGGAGGCAAAGGTTGGCGCTGGTGCTGTTGCCGGCTGAAAAATGCGTGTAAGTGAACAAAAACTAACCTGTCCGTGAACGGCGATGCAGCTGAGTCTTGGTCCTTGGCGTAGAGTTGGCCTTGGAGGCCGACTTGGGCTTTGCAGACTGAGCAGCAGCCATGTTTGCGGATGATGTTCTCGGTATAGCAGCTTTTGGGGCATTCTTGGGGGGTTGTGTTGCCATTTTGTATTTCTGCTTTGGGGCGAGAACACTGCACCTCTCTGATAGAGAAGCTTCGAATGACAGCAACGAGGGTGACCCTTTCCGCACCAGTTACTGGGGGGTGGGGAGGGGCGAGCGGAGAGCGATTTGCGCACGGTTGACGGTTGATGGCCGGGGAGGGGTGGGGGGTGGAGGGGGTGTCCGACCAGGGGCAAGGGGTGCGCTGAAGAAAACAGTATCTGGTCGAATAAAATGACACTGTATCGGGACGAATAAACCACAATCCGAGCCGACCGAAAGCGGGCGAGGAAGGAACAAGGGTGGTTGTGTGGTTCAGCACAAAATGGGAAAAAAGAGGAGAGGAGCAGAGCGAGATCGTCGAACACAATCCTTGGTTTTTTTTGTTCCCCTCTTTCTTCCAGAAAGACGATTAGATTATTTCGCAGCAGCTAGCGCGCGTGTTTTTGTCGTAAAAAAAAGGAAGGAAAAATAAAAAAGAAATATATGAAATTCGTTGATCAGACTGTTGGAAATTTGGTTCGTTGCTTCGTGGTTATCGCCAGCGAAAAACCGTTCGCATGGAATGAATGGATTTCTGATTGCAAGTCCTGCTTGCGTCTGTGGTTTCGTGATCGGGGATCGTTCGTAGATCGGATTAAGCGATTCGTAAAATTGTATTGATTGTAGAGCGAGGCAATGATTGAAATGAAAAAGAGCAAAAGAAAGAAAAAAGACTAACTCGACACTTGGACAACTTTGACACCCAAAACTTCTCTGACTTCAAAGTTCAAGGGAAGCAGACTGGAGGACTGGTGATGGATGGTCCCAAAGTCTTATATCGACGGGTCTTCATCTCTGCGACCTGGCGAGATGGGCCTTCTCTCGCATCTGGCTGGCTGCCCTGCTTGATGGTGCGTGTCCGTCCCCAAAGTTGTTTCTAATTTTGGATCATTCACTCGGGAAGGATGTTCGTCTGTCAGCCCAAAGTGGTAATGTGCGCTTAGAGAAGCCAATCATCGCGTAGTCTGGTCGACAAGTTGGTCGCATCCATGCTCGCCGTGCAGCTAGGGTGACCACTATATGCGGTCTACCCTTGCTGTGTTGGGGCCAAACATTGGCCAACTCAATTATTGTTACCAAGAATGGCTTCAATTGTTCGCAGGCTCAACAAGTACGTACTTCGCACTCGCACGCAAACACGCAGCCTGACGGCATATTGTTTGCTCACCAAGCTGTACGTACCTTAGCTACTGCTATTCTAGATCAATCAAGACAATCCTGCCCTGCTGCAAGGCAAGACCTACATCTCCTCGTGCACTTTATTGATTTCCCACGTAATGGTGGCATTGGACCCCTACTTCCTGCTTGGAAAGAATTTGACCAATTTAGGCATTTCTGGGAGTTGGTTCTCCATGCCACCATCTCTGGGTTCCCCGCCCGCGGCGCGCTTTTCCAAGTTGAGGATTCCGGATTGTGAGATGGCCCCACCCTGGCTTTCGATCCCAGAATAGAAGATAAGGAATTTGACAACGGAAATCTGGTAAAGAGCGCGTGTATTATCATCTTCAGCCGAGCTTTGACGCCAGTTCCCTAGAACAGATCCGCGAGCTCCGCTCATGATGCTGTCATAGTTACCTCGTTGAGAAAGGGCAGAAGCTGCCAACATGACCCAAATGTCATTGTAACCATTTCGAACAAGAGGCCACATCCGTGTCCCGAGGCTGCCGGGGATTTTCTGCTACGATGCAGATTCTGGAAAGATATGGCCGCCTCAGTTGGCCGGGCCTTCCCACTGGGTCTGGGGCTTACATTATCTCTGACAAAATGGCCCGACTGCCGTCATGCTTCACCTTGAAACTCTCAACTCATTTGTGGCTCGAGAGATTTCGAAAGAGTCTTAACTCGTCCGATGTAGGAGGTGATCACGATGAGTGGCCGTACTAACGCTTGAGTAACATAACCAATAACTGTCAGGCTAGGGTTCACGGCCTATCATACTGGTAGGACACAGAGCACTGTGTGTTAGTTGTGTTCGTCGAGGAGTGATCATCGTTAGGTCTGATTTTATTTACTCTGTTTAAATTACAGCCTTACCACAAATAAAATCCTGGTAGTGGAGACCGATCATTTCCAATTAGGCAGTGACCTAGTGGATCTCAGAATGAAGGGTTCGCGGAGTATACAGGTATTATGTGAGTACTACCGGCGGTCCACATTCTTGTACGAGGAGAATACTCGAGACTTGAAAGTAACGGCGCAAGTACGAAGGAAGCTATGCTTCCTACTGCATAAGAGCAAAATTAAAAGAGAGATTGATCAAAGGTAAACCCGTGCGTCGCAACGCCTTTTGCGGCGCACTTGTGAACATAACGTACGTTCGACGATTCTGCCACCGGTGGGTCGAAAAAGAGGACCCATCCCAGTCAAGATCATACCCCCAAATCAGAGTGGCCGAGGCCAAATGGGGCTGATGAGAGGTGGTTAATGCCTTGAACCGCACTTCCGAGTAGGAACCGATGCTCAATGACAGAGTAAAGCCGTGGACCGAACCGATAGGTGGTGGCTGGAGGCATTTGATCTACGAAGTACCCATACCGGGGCAACGAGGGCAGTGGGGGAGGGGAGGATCTTCCAAGCCCAAAATTTGCTCTCATCCTGTTGCCATCTGATGGTGAAATCCAAGCTACTTTCTTCACCATCCCCTCTCGCTGGCTGACTGAAGTACCCTTACTTTGGCTCGTAAAAGAGAAAAAAAGTCGGCAAGAAGATCACAGGGGTACAAGGGAAAATGACAATATCCAACAGAGAAACTGGGCAGCACACCACCATTTTCCCTCGTTTCCCCACCTCCCTTGCCTTTCACAAAAGCACACAAAATGGCGATCGCGGATCTTGATTGGATCGAGAAATGTGACGACAGAGAGGCTCGTGCAGAAGCAACAGGGACGCGGGACCAACCGATTCTAGCGCGTGTGACGGAACAGGGGTGACGGGCATAGGCGAGGACCCGATACGTCCGCGGATTGGCTAGCGCAGCTGTAAGAGGGTTGAGCATTGATTATTTTGACTAGGAAGGTCCACTAAAGAAACGGGGGGCGGGATAAGCTTAGCGTGGAGGTACGAAGTACTTCGTCCACTTGCGAGGGGAAATTCTGAAGAGAGGAGAGAGAAAAGGTCCTGTGAGCTGATTAGAGGTTTTGATTTTTGACCAATCCTGTGCTTCAGGCATGGCAGCTGGGCACAGGATTCCTGCTGGAGACCAGCAAAGCCAAGGCGGCCGAAGCTTTTTCTTCCCCCAAACCCTTGCTCACCGCCCTAGCCTAGTTCGGCTCATGGTCAGCAGCCGTCCATCAAGCCAGTCCCTCGTGCCAAAATATGGTACGTACCTGGATACCAAGTTGGGTGAGCATCCACGGACACGTTCTTCCCTTCCTCACATCCTCACGTCCACGGAATGTCCCCATCCCGCTTCCGACACCTCCTAAACAGCCCGGCTGCTCAGGTGGGAAAGATGTACACGTGCTTGTGATAAAATTAGCCCATCTTTATTCATGCAAAGGGACATAATTGACCCAACATCGAAGCTATTTCTGGGTTAATTTAGCTTCAATTCCTCATCCCTTGCATCCAAAGCACCAACATGATTGCTGCTATTTTTATTTTTGCCCGACTTAACTCCATGAGTTTATTTTGGGCTAATTGTCCTCATCAAGGCAAACAAGTACTTTGGTACCATAGTGACATCCCAATCGTCAGTGTCGGTGACGGATGGTGATCACCAGGGTTGAAGAATCCGAAGATGGGACGGGAACATCATTCCTCACCGACGCTAATGCGGTTGAAGACGAAACCTGTTTGGCGAATATCAGTAGTAATGACGATTCAAGTGTAGTTCATGCGAGCGTCAACTCTAATATATAGCGGGGTAACACGCCCTTCATCCAACTTCATCTCTGCGAGTCTACTTTCGATATCTTGTGCCAAGTCCGGATACGCTCTGCATCTCTCGCGTCGCTTGCAAAAACCAAGCATTTCGAAGTTCTTTCTTTACAGGATGAGAAGTATCCCGAAGCTAACTCACAGGACGAGATGTCTAGAACGACCAAGGCCGATGTGGAGTGCTGATTCTGATTCTATCGCATGAATATTTACGAGCACTCCAATATTATGGGCGGATTCTCGGTTATGCCCTTCGCCCTGTCAATATAGCATCAGACCAGGTTTTTGAAGGAAAATCACTCGTTCACTTGAAGGTTCTCTCTCCGAAGAATTATCCGCATTCTATAGCATGCTTCGTATATTGATCGATCGATCCTTTCCTTAGCAAAACTCCACTATACAGGAACATTCAGACTCTGGTGAATTGATCCCCCCGTGTTTCCGAAAGCCCCACCCCCAACACTGAAGAGGGCACAGGACAAGGACCACGTCCGTGAAGGATTCAGAGATCCATCATCAATGCTACTGACAGGTGATGCCCGGCTTGGCCCCCGAGTCATTTACCCTCGTAGCCCGGACGACCGAGCCACTATCCTCAACGAGTGACCTGCACAGTCTGTGAGTGTGCAGGGCTGTTGATCGATACGGAGATCGATCATAACTGAGATTTGCCATTAACTCACGATGGCTGTTTAAGAGTTCAAGCCGAGTGGCAATGAAGCTGGCCGCGCCTGGTAATTCCCTGACGATGACCACGTTCTTCGCCTTCGGCTTAAATTTGACCGACAAAGCGAGCTGCCGTTTTATGCGAAAATGTGGCTGTTCCACAAGACCCAAAGGAAAATGCTGTGGCGAGGGGCTCACACCGACCCTTGTTTGAAAGGGGGAGGAGTTGAATCATCTATTCGAGAATCCACACGACTCGCATCAAGTGGGACGTCACTCTCCATGCTTCAATGTTCCTTTTGTCCTTTTGAGTGGTGCACATAATCATTCAGACTTTGGGCTCTTGTGGGTGCGTTCTCTTCTACTTCTTCATCTTCTTTTTGACTTTCCCGATTTCGAACCCGGAGATCGGTGAA